ACCAAAATGAATCCCAATTTGTGACGGTAGATGGTGCTATACCCGCTTTGATGTTTCTTAGCATAAATCATAATATGTTCATAGCAGGAATTTTGCATTAAAGATATTGTCAATGAAATCTTGTAAAACGAACCAGACGAGTGTGACACCACAGACTGTTTGTTATCTGCGTGTCTATATAATATGATATATAATTGCCAAAACCTACCTAATTTGCATAATTTTTTTTAAATATCAAAACCCCTAGCCCTTATTCATTCACATACCAAAAATGAGCAAAATCCGTTGAACCTGAACTGACTAATGGCAATTCCCATTTTTGCCAAAAAATTGCCGTGGCTCGAAAGTACGTCGACTGGCGTGCTCTAAAATAGGACGTTTAATATGGGAGCATAGCAGTAACAACTATACCCAAATTCAAACATGTGGGTCAAACGGTTCCTGAGTTATCGTTGACCGTAGCCAAATGTTGACGGACGGACGGACGGACGGACGGACGTACGACAGACGACGACCCATGGCAATAGCTCAGCTTGATGATGTCAAGGTGAGCTAAAAAAACGCACCCGCGCGTGCGTCGCGTGTAGGCTACCTTTACCGAACTTTCCGCCCGCTTATCTGCTGGATTTACGTGCTAAACTTCGTTTCCCGTTAAGCCAAAGGCCGCCGATGCAGGATAGCCGCTGTTGCCATTGAGAACTGAACTCTATTATATTGTAATTATTAACTGTAATTATGATTCCGCTTTCGTTGAAGGGACAACGCATTTGCCAAAATATCTAGGCACACTCGTTTAGATGTAGTCCGCCATACTCGGTCATTTTTTCCCGGTCGACGATCCATTCTTCCCACCAGCCCCTGTCCTTCTCTAGCTCGGCCTGATCGCAGTGACAAAACCAAACGAAGTTACTATGAGTGAGCGGATTAAACCCGATTGAAATCTATAGCTTTTAGAGAGCCGCCTGATTGTGCTCGCTCTTCATAATAGTCTCTCTCTCGCGTGCGTACTTTTTTCTGTTTCTCTTTCTTTCTCCCTCGCTCCTTTCTCCCCCTCTTGTTCGCCCCTCTCTCCCGCTCTCTTTCTATATCCATCTATCTATACTACCATCCATCGGCGGTCGTTCGTACCTCCGTCTGACCATCCATCCATTCATTCATCAATCTATATCTGCTACATATTTGCTCTCGTCTTTTCCGTTCTCGCGTAATATTCTTCTTGGTAGCTCTTGAAAGCGTCCTGTTGACTTTTCTCTACCATTTCTCCTAATTCTATCCACCTGTCCCGAGCACCCGCAGCTCTCCTCACACACACACACTGCGCAGCTATATAACGCACACAGGCGCGGTATTTCGCCACACTCGCTAGGCACGGTAACAAAAAACAGTAATTTCACATCAATTTCTAACGTATACATTCGGGGCAGATGTGCACGCGGTA